TTGTTTATCAAAAAACATATTTATAATTATATGTATACTTTCAATAATAATAATAATAATAATAATAATAATAATTATTGTATTTGAATATTTCAATGTTATATAATATATATTCTATTTCAGGGATAAAAACATAAAAGTTACTTTAGCTTAGTGATTAGTTCGTTTGGTTGTGATAGGGGTAGTCGAGTTTAATTTCTCGCGGTCGCTATTTTCTCCACCACATTTGGATTTTTTAAAGGGAAATGAAACTTAGTCTACATCAGCGTCATGTCACCTAATAAACTCATTTAATGCGGAATTGGCATGCCATGTGTATAGACAACCGAAAAGAAAACCGAGTAACTTGCTAAAATGACAAAAATGTAAAAACTTAAATAACCTTCAAGCTTTAATAAACTCAAAATACCAAAAAAAAAATGTTTTATAAAAACTTTAGGCTTGGAGGAGTTGAGTCGCTAAGCATCCTCGCTGAAGCTCGCTAGGCATTTGGAACACCGCCTCCTAGCGTTCACTATAAAAGCCTTGTTACATGTTTGACGAGATGAGAGAGAAAGAATTACTTGAAGCTAATTGGATAGAAAGGGAAAGGGTTGCTATGGTTGGTTATTTATTTTTATTTTTTCAAAATAAAACTTACACAAGATTAAATGGTATCACTTTTTACCTTTTTGCTACCGCTCTCTTCATCTTCTATGTTAAAAAAAAATCTTATGTTGCTTATGGCAAGATGTTAAAGATCTTATCATTGTCTCGGCCTTAAAGCTTTAATGCATTAGCCTTATTCACGTCAATAATAAAATAACAAAATATCCTTATTATTTCTTACGATCAATCCTGTATTATACACCCAAGTAAAAGTGCTTGACGATTTCAGGGCACTTCCAGAACATTCCACATGCTTCGCGACCTTCCAGACCACTCTCTTCATCCTTCCTAATCACATCTAACAAATTCCGCACACTCATATATATCACACAATTCTGAGTATCTCTGCAGTTCAGATTTCGAAAAAATTCGACAACAAGAAAGCAATCATCGATCGTAATAAACGAAAAAAACGATCATGGGCGTGGATTATTACAAGATTTTGCAAGTGGATAAGAATGCTAAAGACGATGATTTGAAGAAAGCTTACAGGAAGCTTGCGATGAAGTGGCATCCTGATAAGAACCCTAATAATAAGAAGGAAGCAGAAGCTAAGTTTAAACAGATCTCTGAAGCATATGATGTATGTCTCTCTTCTCTCTGTATGACGTATTTATCGTTAATTGTTCAAAATCTTTTTATGTGAATTTTATTGGGTGTTTGGTAGTTTTTCTATAGATTGATGTTCAGAATCTTTCATTAGCAATCAACTAAAATACGGTATAAGTTCATGTTTCCATCCGCAACTTTTGGATTCAGTTTGATTGTTGTTTTCGGATTTTGATGAAAAATTTGCTAGACAAAATTGGTTTTTGATGAAATCATCTCAACTACGATCTTTCTACCTTCTAATTGATTAGGTTTTCATACTGGATGGGGAAATTATGATAGAATAATTCAAATTCCTTCGGATTTGATTACAGAGCCTTATATTTTGAACGTTTCTATCCAATTAAAGAATATTCCATCTGTTTTCAGTATTATAATTAACTGATTTTGTTCAATTCATCTTCAGGTTCTCAGCGATCCTCAGAAAAGAGCAGTATATGATCAGTATGGTGAAGAAGGGCTAAAGGGTCAGGTGCCACCACCAGATGCAGCTGGAGGTCCTGGCGGAGCCACCTACTTCTCTACCGGCGGAGGCACACCATTCTCATTCAATCCAAGAAACGCCGATGACATCTTCGCAGAGTTTTTCGGGTTCAGGGGAGCAGGAGGCGGTGGAGATCCATCCGGTATGAGAGGTGTCAGGTTTTCCAGTAATTCATTTGGGGACAACATGGGAGGATTCGAAAACATCTTCAGCTCCTTCGGCGGCGGCGGCGGTGGCTCACCGTTTGGTAATAGTGCCGGCGGTGGCGGTGCATTCAGTTCAGGTCCCCGAAAAGACCCTCCGATCGAAAGGCCTCTTCCATGTACTCTCGAAGAGCTTTACAAAGGTACAACGAAGAAGATGAAGATCTCTAGAGACATCGCTGACATTAGCGGGTAAGTAAGATTATAAATTAGAATTAGCTTTTCACCATCGAATTCAACTGGTTCGATAGAACATAAAACCCTAAATCTTGAATTTTTCTTTCTTTTAGAAAAACAATGTCGGTGGAGGAGATCTTAAACATCAACATAAAGCCCGGTTGGAAAAAGGGCACGAAGATCACCTTCCCGGAGAAAGGAAACGAGCAACCAAACACGACGCCGGCGGATCTCGTCTTCATCATCGATGAAAAACCTCACAGCACTTTCACTCGCGATGGCAACGACCTGGTGGTGACACGGCGGATCAGTTTGGCAGAAGCGTTGACTGGTTACACAGTTCATTTGACCACCCTTGATGGCCGGAATCTCACTGTTCCGATCAATAATGTGATCCATCCGGCGTACGAGGAGGTGGTTCCTAGAGAAGGTATGCCGATTTCTAAAGATCCGACGAGCAAAGGGAACCTGAGAATCAAATTTGATGTGAAGTTTCCGGCGAGGTTAACTCCGGCTCAGAAGAGCAGGATTAAAGAGTTATTGAATGGTTAGAGATGTTGGGAATGGAGAGAATTTGTGCATATGTATTAATTGTGATTTTGGGTTTTGGAGGGTGGTTTTTTTGGGCATATGTTTTTATTGTTTTAGGATTTTAGTTTCTATGGTTTAATGGTATATGGATTATGAAATCTAATAATTGGAGCCAAGAGCTACGATGTTGTAGAATGTAAGGCTGTTTTTTTAAATAGCAAAATCTACAAAACACATGAGAATGATTTAATTGTATGGAATCTAATAATGAGATTCCGGACATTAAACTCCATTTTTTAAGTAACAAACTGTATACAAATTGTGTCTTTCTTGAAGAGCCAACTTGTATTGGAATCAAGTACACGTTATGTTTTTATTGATTTATTGTCATGTTATTGATTGATCTTCACTTCAAAGTGATGATGACATTGCCTTGGATTCATACATGTGGACGACTTGTAATCTTTTATGTTGTTTAGGGGTTATGTTGAGGACCTTGTATGTTGCAGTAGTTGATGAGCAAAATTCTACCAAGGAGTTAGTTGTATATGCCCAAAACATATGCTTCTAAAATGGGAGTGGTGAAGCAGAATTCTATGAAAGTCTGATTTAAAACATGATATGTCCAAAATATTGCTATTTTTTTGAGAATTACTCCATAATCTATATCTTCACAAGGAACTCTACACGTATACTTTCAATATATTTTATGCATGTATAAGTATAGTTTTACCACTCGTTTATCAAATTCTGGTTATTTTTGTTTCTCAATGTCAACATTTTCTGATGGTAATCCAAGTGACAAGGTGTTATGTCTCCATTATTAAGGCAGTGTATTTGGGGTGGCCAATGGTATAGAGCTAAGACTTGTTGGCAGGGGCGGTTTTGTTATTGCACATAGTGGCATCAGTAATGTCTAACTTTTCTGTACATAGTATAAAGAAATTCGATTTTTTTTTTAATACTATTGTGCAACTGGTATTTTTTTCATACTAACTAGAGAAGTCACATAATAAGGAAAACCAAAGGGCTTCTAACCCAACGGTATCCGGTGTTGCCCTCCTTTTTTGAGGTTGAGGGTTCAAGTCCCGCCGTGGACATAGGTGAATTTAAGGTGTAGTTTAGGAGTAGGTTAGATTTGCCGTTTCAAAAAAAAATAATAATAATAAAAAAATAAAAATAAAATAAGGAAAACTTCATTTTCTACATAGCTTTACAGGACCGGATTTGTTTTCATCAGTGGGAAGAAAGTAGACTTCTTTTCAGTAGAAAGGAAAGATAATTTGATGAAATAACATTTTAGACTTAAAACTAACATAATACATGTTATTGACATTTTTGTGGCTACACAAATCAATTGCCTTGCGCTTATCAGCTAAAATACCATACCAAAAAAAAACCTTGAATACGGGAAGAACTTTCTTCATTCTTTAAATTAACACTATAGCACAATGAAGTTTTTATTTTTTTCAGAATTGGTCATCAAAGTGTTTTTTTGCAGGTCACTAAAATTTTAATTTACATACTAAATAGTGGATCAATTTCAATTCCTACCGGTTTGTAAGTTACAATTTTATAGTTAGTAAGTTTGTCCACATAGGTAATTATTTATTTTTGAACTTTTTTAAAATTAAAATAAAATAAAATAGCCCTAGATAATCTTGCTACTTAGATTACTCACGCATCCCTTTGGTTATCCTACCGGTTTTTATGTTACCATTTCTTAGGACCCGTTTGATAGTTGTTGTCTGGAAAAATGTTATAGATCAGAAAAGAAACCATGTTTTTTGATTGTACATCTGATTGACTGTGAATGATGAAAAATGACCATTCAGCCAGCCAGTTTCTGAAAAAGACATCTTACCGGGAAAAACCGCTTTTTTTGTGCAAATCAAATAGTCTTTCCGCCCCAAGTCAATCAAACTTCCTTAGTTGGGCTCGTTTCTTTTTCTGATTTCTTCTTTGGTTCTGTTAGTATTACCCATTGTGAAAACAAAAGAATCGAACCAGTACCCTTGGATTTCCACACGGATAAGAAAACCATAAATTCATGTTTGACCGACATTAAACTATATATGATTTCATTTTTTACTTCGACGTAGAACGGGTAGAAGCAGTTTCTTAAAAGCAATGTCATGGAAATAGAACTTCCCTCTTTAAGTTCCAACTTTCTACAAATTTACCTAATGTTGCAGAGAACGCTTCCTTCAAAGTAATTTAGGCAAAACATAAACGATAACTTAGGCGTATAAAATTAGGGTATATGCAAGATCGCTAAATCACAAAAGGTTTTACCTGGCTCTAATTCCATCATACATATCTAATTTCCTATCCCCAAATCTACATGGAAACACAACCTAGCCCCAAAATCCACATTTGGAACTTCACTATACTACAACATTAGATTTCGTTAATCACTATAACCAGACGAAGATAATTCCGTCTCATCCTCCGCATTATTACCAATTTGCCCTCCTACATCAAACTCCCGATTCTCATCCGAATCATCATTAAAAAAACCATCAACATCAACATCCACACCCCCCTGTTCATCTTCATCCTCATCCTCTTCCTCAACATCATACTCTTCCTCCCCTTCTAAACCATATTCCCCAATATACCCCTGACCCGCCACATCATCATAAACATTCCGATACCCATCATCCACCAACATCTCATCATCATACTCCTGACCATTATTATCATTTTCATTCTCATATTCCGAACTCGAAGCATTTTCCTCAACAATGAGGTCAGCAGTTTCCTCCGCATTCCATTCTTGGAAACCGGGAACCGGACTTTCCTCATATAGAAACTCCCGACCGCTATCAACCTCGTTCGATATGTTCACCGTCTTCTGCTGCTTTGGCCGGACACCGCGGCGGCCGCGCTTCTGGCCGCCGCGACTGCCGCCACGCGCCCGCCCAATGTCGGCGGTTTTAGCTCGTGATCTCGACCCCATGGCACCGGTTCTCTGGGATCTACCGCCACGGGCCCGCCCTCTGCCCCTTCCACGCCCCCGCCCTCTGCCCGAGGTGCCCGGATCCGCCCATGGGTCTTGGATGTTTCCGGATCCGTAGACTTGTTCACTGTTGTCACCTTCCTCACCGTTTTTTATCACCGCATATTTTAATGGAAAAGTCTGAAAAACACAAATGATTTATTAAAGATTTAAAGTAAAGTAAAAATGTGTATGAAAGATTTATTTCCATACCAGAAAACTTGTGGCTCCTTTGTCTTTTTCAGCATCTTCTTTCTGACTAATTAAGTAATGAATTGAGGTTTCGAGTTCCATGAGCCTTAATGCTACACCTGCTGTTGTTTCAGGTAACCATGGAAGCACAAACACCATGGAACAATCACTGGTCCCACATAATGTCATTGAGTTATTAGACCCCAATAACTCATCTGTTGTCTCAAAATCCATGGCTAAAAAATCCCGTTTTATCGCGCTTTCCAATAACGTCAAAGCCTAATAAAAAAAAGTTACAAATTGTTTACCAAATCTTTTATTTTTATCACTTTATCCATATAAAACTTATGCACACACCTCGAGAAGGGCTTCAGGATTTACAGCTTTGACCAGCTTCACACACCATGACTTTCTACATTCGTCTGTCCATGAAGGTTGTAGAGCTTCAACTGGAATCGAAGCCTATATAAAAGAATTACAGTTTATAAAATAAAATAAAGTAAAAAGTAAGTTGTTCTATCTCTCACCTCAATCAGTGCTAATTGAGCTTTAACCAATCGGAATCTTACGGGTCGACCCGATTCCCGGTTAAGAAAATAAAACCCGGACTCCCCTTTCAATTTTTCTTTAAACTCCGATATACATTTCGAAAATGCCAAATTGCTTCCGATAAAATAATCGCATATTTTACCACAAGAAAAACATCGATTACCCTCGAAAAACGATAAATCCCTACAATTATCACAAATTCCAACCACATGTTGACATCTTGCATTCCCAAATTTCATTGCCCTTAAATTCAAGCATTCTCCCCACATCCATTTTTCAAACTCCTGGTATCTTTTTAAGGCGTTTGTTATCTCTTTTCCACTTTGACCCAATTCGATTGAGAAAGAGGATGAGAATTCTGAAATGTTTGTGTTTGTGATTGATAAGGTGCTGATTGGGCTATTAGAGTCGACCCCGACCCCGACCCGGACCGGGACCCGTTTCTTATTGATTGCTTCTTTAAAATTGGATTCAATTCTTTGCAACATGGAATGCAAATGTGCCTCCCGATTCCCACGCACATCTAATGATGCCAAAAGACTGTTGAACCCCTGGCATTTAAAAAGTAAAAAACCAATAAATAAATCAATCACTGTTTGAGTCAGATAGATCTAACTGAGTCACTGAGTCAGACATATTCTTATTATTTACCTCCTCAGTGTCAATAAGGCGCCACCTGGCATCACGTAACTCAACAAAGATTCTCCCAGAGCCGGGATCATTCTGTGAGGCGGAAGTTATAAACCGCCAGTAGCGGTTTCTTCTCCGGTCATGTCCAAGTGGCAATGATCTGTAGACATACATCTCTTCTGCTTTATGGCCAATAAAGGATTTTAATTGAGATCTTGACTTTTCAACAGCATATGCCGGTTGTTGAAGCTGAAAACTATCCGGGCCCGCAGAATATTCCGGTAGCCTTTCGGTGGTGGGATCGATTTGGGGGTGGTGGTCGCCGGAGGTTTCTTGATGGTGGTTGTTTGATGATGCCAAATCGGTTTGGTTTTCAATAGATGGATATTGTATCTTTATCATGAAGTCTTCTTTCATTTTTCTTTTATCAACTTGTGCTTCAGCCCACATTTGTTTCTTTAATGCCATTGCTGCTTCTAATCGTTCCTGTGAAACATTTTTTTGTAAATTAATAAATTATACCCGAATAATGAGACAGAAAAAAATACAAGGAATAGAAAAAGGTATACCTCAAGAACAACACGAATAGAATTTCCTTCATTTGCAACAGCTATCAAAGCAACAAGAGCATTGAGTCTTTCTTCAACACTCAAATCCGAATACTCGCCTTCCATAAGCCCTTGAACCCATGGCTCCCCGGAAATACTTTCATCAACCACTGTATCCTCCCCCTCGTGGGTCCCGCTTACTTTGTCAATCGAAGAGCCAACTTTCGTGTCTTCTAGAGTTTCAGATTTCACACCGGAATTCCCAATTCCGATTCCATCGATGCCGATGTCATCGATCTCCGGATCCTCTGCAACGTCGCT